TTTCGAAGAGACAGCGAAGATTGTGCACGATTTGACGGAGGCAATCATTCAACTGACAATCCCGCAATCGGATTGGAGACAATCATGGAAATAATGCTGGAAATCTTTCAAGCAATGCAATCGGAATTAGAGGAGCATCCATTATCCTCGAATTCCGGAGCACGATCGCCTCCAATGCACCATCGTCCAAGCCGGGGAAGATGGTGTTGGGAAAACCACAATTACAGATTTCGAGCCCAAAAAATTCCCACAAGTCTCACGGTGGGAAACTAAAGGCCCGACAGGTCTGGGAGAAAATCTATTCTGAAGCAGTACTTGACAGCCGCCTTCTAATTTATACGAAAAAACCCACCAAAGTCGGTTTCATTTTTCCTACAACGAGACAGAAATTGCCAAGATCTTCTACCCTCCTTGTTCGTTGCCAAGGCGAGAGAAATTAAGACTTTTGGCACCAGGTAAATGTACACAGATTTATGTTTCAAAATATTGCTTAAGTGGACTTTCGTTGTAGCGGATCTGCTTTTCATCATCCGTGGGGTTGCATTTCTCAGGAGACATCGACTTTGCGTTGATCCAGTCAATTACAGACTCGAGGGTGCATTCTCCAATCATTGGATCTAAACGAAACCGACTCGTTTGTACCACTCGTGCTGGATGTTTAGAATAGACAATTCAACCTGGAATGAGCTGTTGGGCAAGCTGCCCTACATCACCAAAACTGTGATTACCGATTTGTAACTAACTGAAAAGTATGTATCACATCAGGGCCACTGGTCGTCGGTCTTCGGGCGACCCAACAAAAGGTGCCACGCAACTTACTCTTATCCAAAAGAAAGGTGGCAACGAATGGCGGCCCTGCGGTGACTTTAGAGAATGGTTCCAGACAGATATCATCTGCCACCTGTTGTGGGCGTCGCTTTACTTCAAAGAGCAGAAACATTTTCTCCAAAGTTGACCTAAAACTGTCTGATTCCAAATCCCTGTAAATCAAGATCACATTGCCAAGTTGGCTGTCATCAACCCTTTCGGTTGGTTCGAATTTGACAGGATGCCGTTTGGGCTTAGAAACGCCGCACAGACGGGGTCACTCAGAGTTGGGAAGGAGTTTTTTGTCTACATTCACGATATAGGAGTTGTTAGTGTCGATATGGAATGGCACAAACAGCGTTCTGTTGCACTGGTTTGGCCAAAAAAAGTTTTTTCGGCTTCGATTCCTTGACTTTCCTGGGACATCTTATTGACGATCGCGACATGCTACAGGTCATGAGAGGGTCCAGAGCATCAAAGATTTTCCTTTTCCACACACCATCCAGACTTTAAGAAGTTTGTTCCACCAGAAGACGACGGCCAATTCCTCTTGACCAGATGTCGGTTGGCTTTACTGGAACATTCATGCTGACGCTGTCTCCGAGGCAATCTGCTTCGATTCCGGT